CGGCGGCGTGTGCCGTTCTGCGGATTCAACCAGCGCCGAGGTGACGGGAGGTGCTGGAGGCCGCGTGCCGGTGGGATTTGGTCCACAGAGGCGCGGCGATAACGAGGCGCGGTCGTCCGAATGCCAGTGGGATTTGGTTCCAGGAAAGCAGCGAGAACGAGCTGGGGTCATCCGTGTGCCGGTCGTGCCGGTGGGATTTGGTCCAGAGGCGCAGCGACCCGTGTGCCGGTGGGATTGGCATGGCGGAGGCAGCAAGGATGGAGGTGATTTGCTTCTGCGGACGCAACCAGCGCAGAGGTGACAGGGAGCGCTGCAGGCTGCGTGCTGGCGGGATTTTGTTCACAGACAGCTGCAATGATTTCGGGCCTTGGTTTTCACCCGTGTGAATCTCATCCAAGGCTGTCAAGATCGGGCAAGCCTGTTCGCGCCGCGCGCGCGACGCGCGCACGCGCGCCTTTCGATGTGCTCAACATCACATGGGAAGGCGCGCGCGCGGCGGCGCGAGCAGGCCGCCGTCCCCTTTGAACCACCTGAAACTTATTGCCCAACAACATCGCAAGCAAACAAGAAGGAGCAAACCAGAATGTTGGTTTCCTTAAAACAAGCCCAGCAAGCCCCTTTCTAGTTCAGTGCACAGCTTGACGACGTGTTTGCTAAGCTTGCTTTCTTGTTAGTTTGCTCTTCCCTCATGCGCGGCGATTCAAGCCCAATGGAAAGGGACGGAAGTAGAGCTATGAGAGAAACCGATTTTTGTTCGCATCTTGGTTTTTGGGTTCCCCGGCTCTCCTTGTTTCTGCATGACACTGCAGAATGCCTGAAAACACGCTGCTCATTGGAGCATATCTGTGAGAGATATAACCTTGATCTGACCTTGACCACGTCGCGCGCACAGTCATCCTGTCCATGAGGAATCCACCGCGTACTTGTTTTTGCTGAGGCGCGGTTGCATTTTGTCTTGGTACATGAACACAACCTGCTGCAGTTCAGAAGCAGAATGACTATTCAGGCCCCAGAGGGTTCCCGACCTTGTGACATTGAACCTGTGTTTGCAAGTGCTTGATGTTGCTCCACTTATGCCAGAGATTTTCTTGCACCGCAGGTGCCGAGATGCCCTGCAAAGGCGCCAGCATTGTGGCAGTACGCGAGGGTTGGCGCCTCACGCCCCCAGATAATTTACCTATCTATATATTTTTATATGTGTGTGTGTGTCTGTTTATGTGTTTTTTGTTTTTTAAATGTGGGAGTCGTCCGGAAGGTCCCCGCAGTCAGGTGTGAAGGGGAAGACATTTTGTGTCTTAATGTTGCCCTCTGCAAAAGCTTCGCGATGAAAGCTGTGTTTTCTCACGAAAGTTTTCTGTAAGGGTGGGTTACTGAAAGGAAAGGCGGAGGAAAGGCGGCCTGAGGATTGCGGCAAAAGTTTGAATCAACGGCAACCCCCAGCAGAAAGCAGGTTGTTGGAGCTTTGAAGCTTTCGAGTTTAGCCGGGCGCAACTTCCCAGTTCTGCGCAAGTTTCGTGAAAGTCGGTGGACCTCCACGCCATGTCTTGTTCCTTTTGTTTCTTCTTTTTTTCGGATATGGGTGGCCAACGCGTCCCCCTCCTGTACTCTTGCTTTCCGGAAGCTCATGCTTTGGCTAAAAATGGCCAGCCCGTCAGTTTGCTTTTTAGCTGGCAACTAGCTTTCCGGAAATGATGCTGCGAAGATTGCGTTTCCAGGACAACTGCCTTACATATGTTTGCGTTTGCGCACAGCAATGCCCTGCTGTCAGCTGAGCAGCCCCCGAACCTCTCAAGTGATGATTGCAGACCAGGTTCCTAGATCATGCTTCCACGTCAGGAAACAGGTGGGCCGCGTAAGCTCGCGTGTAAGCCCGAAAGGTCCAGTTCGATGCTTTAATCAAGTCATCGGCTCTTGATGCTTGAGAGCTCTCTTGTGAATTTGGGTCTTTGTATGTCAGTCAGACAATTCGACACCCATCGCTTTGAATCACAACGCGGGCATGTTGGGATTGTTTTGCAAAACTGCTGGCAATACATCTTCGTATGCTTTGCGGCGCCTCCGCGGAAGCCGCGTGAGCTTTGGCTTCCAATCGTGATTCTGGGACCCTTTCAAAGGGTATTTTGCAGACTACGCTTGGCCTGAAAGTTGCGATTTGCAAGCCAGAGCTGCCAAAGGGTACTTCGCGTACTAACAGATTGCGACTTGTGAGATCTTCAGCTTTGCACGCCACTACACTCGAAGGCTGCGCCACATCAGGTGTACGTAAGTGGCTTGCGAGAGCACGAACTGTGGTCGCGTAAGACCCGCGGAAGCCTCTAATGACAATGATGCTTGTTCTACCTCGGCATGGCTGTGTTTGGAAGCTCAGATGCTCAGTTTCAGATCCACTTTTGGCTGACTTTGGCGCAGTTGGGCAGCCTTCGGCGACCAAAGGCACGGCCCATGCAAGGGAGTGTTTCAGAAGAAGTCAGGGGACACCATAGTTTTGTAATGAATCTGTTTGCTTTGGTATTGTGGTGGTTCTGGTTTATTCGATGTTGCCGGTGCGCAATAACAGCCTTTCCTGCCTTGCTCAAACCGAGTGACAGCTTGTTGCCGCTCAGGCGACGCCCGGCCATGCCTGCCTGCTTTGAATGCGGCAGATAGAACACGATGCGCCTAGAAGCCTTTGTTACGAATTTGCAGCTGCCAAACAACAACCAAATAGGGCCGAATGCACATTAGACATCTGTTTGTTCGGTTGGTTGGGCGCCCGGGTCTGTATGTATGCCTGTGCGTGCGCGGCAGCCTCTTCGGGAGCTGCTCTCGCGACCTGCCAGGCGGATGATAGTGATGGGAAGGAGCGGAGATGGCCCTTCTGACGGCATCGTAAACTTTGTAAGCCAAGCTCAACCCGTTGCCTGCACCAGTTGTCAGAACCAAGTCGCATCCCTGTGAGGATGATCCCTGCACCCCAGAGGAGAAGCAGGGCTTGCTTGGAGGCGTCAAGGGGGTCTTCCTGGGAAGCCTTTGAGGATCTTTGATGGAACTGCTGATGCAATTTGTAATTTGTTTGACTGCGTTTTGATGCAGGTCTAGACAGGGATGAGGAGGTCAGGGCAGAGTGCACCCTGACGTTGCTTGAGCACACGTGGGGCCAACACGTGCTGCGTTGCTGTTGCGCCTCAGTCTCGCATTTGTAGGACTCCGATTCGACTCACCCTGCATCACCTTTATTCAACGGCGACGAGGCAGGTTGCTGGGTGAGTGTCTTGATGAAGCGAGCATGGGTTGCATGAGCATATGCAATGCCTGGAAGGATGCATGATTTGGTAAATATGTCATTGATCACTGCCCCCGAGCCCAGATTGCTTTTTGACCGAACTGGTAAAAAAGCGTACCGCGTATGGGTTCAACTGGCGATTCTTCTGTCCTTGTGTTCCCTTGCAACGTATGAAGACTGACGCGCTTCAGGATGCAGGCAGGCCCACTCCCCCCCCGACTTATGCTCAATCAGTGGACAATGCGCGCAACCAACAAAGCACTGCCTCCCCATAATTACTCCTTGCTGCACTGACAATTGTTTGTGCCTAGCCACATTTGCTGCACACTGGTATTTCCCCAAATTCGTCTCTTCGCTTTGTTTTGCTTATAGGAAGTCTTGCTTGCGACTCACCGCTCAGAATCTTACGTTGGTTAGATTTGTCGGAGGAGAAAGAATTCGGGCCAGCGTGCATTGGTGGGGAATCTCTGGGCGCTTCATCACATGGTTTGGTCGCGAGCCTTGGCGTTTGCCCCTTTGCATTTGTCTCTGGTGCAAGGTCCACACCGAGCTCGCATGTTGCAATGCTCATGTTTTGTCAATGCCCATGGAGTCCAGCGTGGGCAATGACAGGAGTCCATGGCTGCAGTCATGAAGCTGCGCCCTTCGGTGCAGGATTCCGTCGGCCCGGTGCTCAGCTGAAGGTTTTACAAGGCATTGACTAAAATAAGTGGGGTTCTAGGGATGTTTTCATTGGCTTTCAATTGCTGGATGCTTGCAAGCTGGTGGCACACATTCGTCGCTTCTCATTCACAGAGCTTAAGCAAAGTCTTTTGTTGCAGTTCAGACATGCTGCCGGTCAGTTCCGGCGAAACATTCCCCTGAGCACGCGTCATCAACTGCTCGGCATTTCGACTTTCAGTTGCAGGGACCTCCTTACTTTGTGCAGCTAGGGATAACAAGTTGCCAAGCGCCCCAATGCCACATTATCCAAGGCCGAATCAATGCCCAACTGCAACTGCAGTCACTCGTATTAGGGGGTTCCTCACACTTAACCAATCCAAATGACTTTGTTCTGTAGCAGTACATGAAGATGTTGATAGTTGTTGTGCCTATCCAACGGGAGTGTCCATGAGGACAAGCCCCAAAGTGCAGCCAGTTCAATTGGCATATCCATGCTTACATAGGAACGCAGCGCCGTGCTGCGCTGACCCGTTTTCTGCTTGATGAATGCATATCTGACGCTGTGAAGGCGCTTTGAGTCAAGGGCACAAGTCCATAGCTTTCACGTCCCCCAAGTTTCCTAGATCTTATGGCCTTTCCCATGGCAAACGCCGAACTTAGATTGTCAGCATTGTTGTGTCAGGTGATGACGAGGAGGAGGACACAGCCAGGCAGGACAAGCCTCGCTCTTGCCGACTGTGCGTTTGTTTGGCAGCAATGAATGGAGTTTGACAGCTTGGCTTTCACATCCAGGCCTATCATTGGCAGTGAGCGGGAAGAACTGCTCTCACGCTGAAAAACTGACAGCCCATGCCAACGAGTGGTTTTGTGCTGCGCATGTCTGAATTGCATTTTGGATTTGTGACATTGGCAGCTGTTCAAGGGTTCCCATGACAAGCACGTCGCGGAATACAGGGAGGTATGTGACAAGAGGTATGACGCATGATGTTTTCGAGCTCGCAACACCTGAGCGCCTGAGTCTGACTAAGTGACCATACCAAACTCCAAAGCATTGGCTCCATATTCACTCCGATTGGCCAGCCGGTCCTTCCGACCTTCCCACCGCTCTTAGCACGAGCCATGAGCTGCTGCTTCGCATGGCTTAAGGCGGCACAACGGGTCGCTTGCCTTTCGGCCCAATCAAATGTCGTTTGGCCAGGACCTTGGCTTTCGCAGCTTGCCTTACTCCACTGCAACCGACTGCAGTTCCGAAGGACAGTGCTTCACAGGCTCAGATTTGCATGGAGATGAAGCGTGCAATTGACTAGCCCTCTTCAGTCAGCAGGAACGAGAATCAACAAAAATGCTTCGATTGGAAGATAGGATTGTATGGCTCGAGTTGTTTGCTTCGTGGGACGGGACGGTGTCAGAAACTTACAATGAATGTTTGATAGTGTCAAGTTGGACTTGTCAAGGATGCTCGGGAGGAGCTTGTTTTGCAGCCAAGGATTGAGCCTTGGCCCTGGCGTTGAGCATGAGCCCCTTGGCCATTGGTTCAGTCTCTCAAACGATGCAAGCTTGCGAGCGTCTCAACCAGACCTCCAACAGCGCTCTTGCTCAGCTGAGCCAAATCAAAACCAGGGTGAGTGTAGGGTAGCATGTAGTAGGTCCTCTGTCTCTTCCTTGTCCTTTGTCTATGTATATCTTTATATTTCCGCTCTTCTGTCTATTGTTCCTTCTCTTTCTCTTGTTATTGTCTCTCTCCCTCTCTCGCTCTCTCTCTCTCTCTCTCTCTCTCTCTCTCTCTCTCTCTCTCTCCTCCTTTGTTTGTCTCTTTCTATGTTGGTTTCTTTTTGCATTTCTGTTTTCCCCTCTTGCTCTTCTGTTTGTATCTGTGTTTGTGTCTGTTCTTTTCTCTGCTCTTTCTTTCTCCCTCTCTCTCTCTCTCTCTTTCTCTCTCTTTCCTTATTTTCTTCGTGTTCTCCCTCTCTCCCTCTCTCTCTGTCTCTCTCCCTCCAGCACACAAAGGTGAAAAGCGCAGAAAACCACGAGTTGTTTAGGGTCGACCCACCCAAAGTCCTGAGGGTGTCATTGGTTGTTGGTTGCGCAAGTTGAAAACCGTAAAAAGCTTCTTGAAGTCGACCCCCCAAAGTGCGCAGACGGTTAATCAAGAAAGGGCTGCGAAAGCGGCGTGCGCGGCGGTGCCGTCTCCACGCTCGCTCAGTTTCTGTCTCCTCCTCCTCCTCCTCCTCCTCCTCCTCCTCCTCCTCCTCCTCCCTCCCTAAGATGTTTTCCCCCCTTTCCCTGTTGAGATCTTTTCCCCCCTTTCCCCCCTAAGGCCTTTTCCCCCCTGAGGTCTTCTCCGTTTTCCTCCCTAAGATCTTTTCCAGCCTTTCCCTATTGAGATCCTTTCCCCCCTGTCCCCCCCTAAGGCCTTTTCCCACCCTGAGATCTTCTCCCTTTTCCTCCCTACGATCTTTTCCCCCGTTTCCACCCGAAGCTTTTTCCACCCAAGATCTTCTCCCTTCTCGAGATCTTCTCCCTTTTCCTCCCTAAGATCTTTTGCCACCTTTCCCTGTTCAGATCCTTTCCCCCCTTCCCCCCCTAGGCCTTTTTTTCCCCGAGATCTTCTCCCTTTTCCTTCCTAAGATCTTTTCCCCCCTTTCCCTGTTGAGATCCTTTCCCCCCCTTTCTAAGGCCTTTTCCCCCCAAGATCTTCTTCCTTTTCCTCCCCTTTCCCTGTTGAGATCCTTTCCCCCCTTTCCCCCCTAATCCCTGTTCTTTCTTAACATCTTTTCCCCCGGTTGAGATCCTTTCCCCCTTGCCCCCTGGGGTCTTCTCCCTTTTCCTCCCTGAATCTTTTCTCCCTTTCGCTGTTCCTTTCCCCCCCTTTCCCCCCTAAGGCCTTTTCAGATCTCTCCCTGTTCCTCCCTAAAATCTTTTCCCCCCTTTCCCTGTTGAGATCCTTTCCCCCTTTCCCCCCTGAGATCTTCCCCCTTTTCCTCCCCAAGATCTTCTCCCACCTTTCCCTGTTGAGATCCTTTCCCCCCTTGCCCCCCCAAGGCCTTTTCTCCCCAGATCTTCTCCCTTTCCTCCCTAAGATCTTTCCCCCACTTTCCCTGTTAAGCTGAGATCTTCTTTCCCCCTTTCCCGGTTGAGATCCTTTCTCCCCTTTCCCCCTGAGGCCTTTGTCCCCCAAGATCCCTTCCCCCCCCCCCCATCTTCTCCCCAGCTCCCCCCCTACAATCTGTCCCCCCCCTGTCCCCCGAAGATCTTCGTTTCCCTTCACTTTCCTTCACTTTGGCTCATGTCCCTTTATGTCTGTTTTTGCTTCCTTTCTTTCATATTTCACTTCATGTCATTCATTTCCATGCATTTTCCTTCATTTCCAAATGTTCCTTCACCAGCATGGGCAACATCCCCAGCATCACTTGCATCATCCGCATCCGTGGCAGGCGCTGATGCAGGTGATGCTGGCGATGTTGCCCAGGAGGTGATAAGGATGCAAAAACGGACCTGGGGGGAATCGAACACGCCAATGTTTTTACGCAACAGCCCCAGAAAAAAAAGGATTTAGTGGAACGTCTTGGAATCACCGCGTGGTACGTGGGACCCCCACCGCCCGTCTAAAACCATGCCCCTGGAGCATTTCTTATGTCCAACACGCCGCCTGTTGTCGTCGGATTTCTGCTGGCTGAAGCCGGGCTGCAGGCTCACCTTGTCAAAACGCGAGTTTTCAGCTTTGGCAGTGACAAATCCAAATCCAATTGTGCGCGTCTCTCTCCGTAGGCTGGACGCAGATGAGGCCAGCGGGCACAGACTTTGTTTTCACGCCCATGTGTGTCAGCGCCGCAACCCACGCAGTGTAAACTGACAATGGATTGCGCTGTTCCTTCAGCAGCCTTGCGCGAAGCCCGGTTCAGACTCTCACTTGCCCGCACTCATTGCAGCCAGGAGAGTGGCGGTGAGCTTGCCGAAGCGCCTGCTGCGCGGCCTTTGCTGACCAGGAGAATTGGAGTCGGAGGGTTTGAGGGTTTGAGCGTGTGATTTTCGTGGCTGGGATTGGCCCGCAAAAAGGACCCTAAACTTATTGTTTTGCGCGGATCCTACACTCACCGTACCCTGCATTCTAGCCCGCCAACGCCAATAGAGTAAACACACCCGAAGCCCAGCCTGAATAAACCGTCTTCCGGTGCTGCGGCGACGCGGCGAATCCTCAAGCCCAACTCGAAAGGCGTAACAGCTTTTAGTGTGTCACGAGGAGGGGGTGGAGTAACGGCGCTCCAGCCCGATGGTTCTCCCAGCCCTGACACGTGCTTTGGCGGCGCCTTGGCTGGGCGAGCCAGACAAGCGGACGCGAGGGCACTGCTGGGTTTGTCGTCATTCGTCATTCGCGCCGGCTGTGCCCGCTGACAAGGCTATCTGCGAAGCCAGCTTCCCACCCTTCAAGGAGGGAGTCTGGTGTGTGTCTCCTGCGAAAAAAACGCGTTCGCCCAGACACATATATGGGGAGTGGTGTACACCCAGGAGAGAGTGGGGCCATGCTTTCAAAAAGTGTGGCAACACAAATGTTAACAAAGCAGGCTGCAGCTTGGAATACGATGAGTGCTGGAGGCGACGCCCCCAAGATGCCCTGCGCATCCGCCTATCCGACAACGACGAAAAATTTACGGATCGAGGTGCGCCAAGCTTTTGCGCCTTGCACGGCATCTCCCCAGGCAGAAAGCTGGGAAGAGTGCAACGAGGGAGCGCACGCAACGTTGAGGCCTGAAACGGAGCTGCTGCAATGGTGCAAGTCGCTCCGCACGGTTGATTCCGAGGTGTGTGACTGCGTAGTCCTTCACCAGGAAGAGCAGGATCATTGGCAACGCTGATGTCGGCGGCCAATTCAATCTAATCTGAATGTTCCGTGGGTTCTGTGGCAGCTCATCGCTCCAGCGCCTGAGCCTTGGGCCTTCGTCAAAAACGGCCACGGAGGGTGACTTCGGCCGGACGTTGCACGCGCGCTGGTGTCAACGATATGGGTGATTGGCGGTCCGTCAAAGAGGCAACGCATGTGTACTTTCCGTTGCTTGGATGCCCGATCGTGCCAAAGATCTAGTCTATGATGCCTCATCAAATCCAACAACCCCAACGGGCAATTTTTTGACCAATTTTGCCAGGAAACAATCCTCATGCTGAGGGCGGGTTGTCTTCTTCTGCCAGGAGGGGCGGCGTATCTGCTGAGCCAACTGGTGCTAACAATGTGCGCGCCGTTGCTGCAAGCATCGTCAGGTTTGCAGAGAGGGGAAGGTGAAGGGTCAGCTGCGTTTGTGCTTGCCATGCACTCTCCTCTTAATTATAAACCGTCCAGGTTTGGGCCAGAACTGTTTCAGACTACGTTGTTTAGGGAGGGCGTTTTAATTTGCAGAAGAAGTGTTCAAAACACAGTTTCTGAGTAGGAACTTTAAAGACGGGGCGCCTTTTTTGCAAAAGAAACCTCCAAAGCTTGTCACGAGGGGCAACCCTTTGGTTTGAGAGAATGAGCGCGCAGAATACAGCTTTGTGAGTAAGACCTTATGAGGAGAGCCCAATGCAGACCCTAAGCTCAGAATGCAACTTTTTACTAAGACCTTCTGGGGGACGGAAGCCCAATAAACCAACCATTGTCACGCAAGGCAACCCTTTGACTTGCGCTCATAACACAACTTCTGTGGGGTGACCCCTAGTAAGCAGGGCTTGGCTGACTGGAGCTGGCTTCGGGAAAGACTTTTCTTTAGTGTTTGGTAATTTAGAAGTAAGTAGTGGCAAGTGTTTCGGGTCAGCTGGTGGGTTCTGTTATTATAGACACCCCGACCTGCAAACCAAAATACTTCCGTTCGTAGGTCCAAGGAACAAACTTATTCATCTCTTGTTAAGTCCAACACCCCCTGAAAAGTCATGGCCTTCTCCATCACTAGAAACCAGAAACTAGACCCCGCGCACGCCGAAAGCTCTTATCCAAAAGAAAGATCCAAATTGTGCCCCCAAGCAGAGCTGCGCGGCAAAGGCGAGGTTGAGGTGCGCTGCGCAGCAAAGCTATGTTGAGATGCGTGCGCTGCGCAGCAAGGCTATGCCTCAGATGTGCTGCGAAGCAAAGTTCTGTTGAGACGTGCTGCGCAGCGCGTCTCAACAAAGCCTTGCTTCACAGACCATCTCAACATAGACTTGCATCAGCACATCTTGGCCTAGCCTTGGTGCGCAACATGTCGGCATAGTTTTGCTGCGCAGCGCGCTTGAACATAGCTTTGCTGCGCAGCGCTAGTCTCAACATAGCCTCGCTGCGCAGCGCATCTCAACATAGCCCGCCTCAACATAGCCTTGCCGCGCAGCACTTCTCAATAGTTTTGCTTCAAAATGTGCTTCACAGCAAGCTATGTTATGCCGAGAAGCGCAGTGAAGCAACGCTATGTCGCGATGCACTGCGATATGCTGAAACAAGCTATGCAGCAAAGCTATTGCGCTATGTGCTGCGCAGCACGGCTATGTTGAGATGTGCTGTGAAGCAAGGCTACACCTCGCAGCAAGTCCATTCTGCGGAAAGGCTATGCCGGCGCGGGGTGCGCAGTAGAGCGCTGTTTAGCGCTGAGATCAACGCTGCAGCATAGCAGACATGCGCAACGCAGTGCACAGCATAGCAGACATGCGCAACGCAGTGCCCGACTTTCCGCAGACAGGCGAAAATTCGAGCCCGGGGCCGCGGTCCCAAGACGCAAGGCGCGACACGGCGAGAGCGATCCAACACGCACGCTTCCCGAACAAGGTTCTTAAAAGTTTGCAAGGCGCCGCAGCGAGAGCGCTTTGACCGCATGATCCCCGCAGAGTGCTCGTCGGCCAGCGGGCAGAGAGTTCACCCGCGAAGTTGCAAATTCGCGCGGCGCCACGGAGTCTCGTCACCCACGCAGAATATTCTCACGGTGCCGCAGCAAGAGCGATCCGACACACACACACACACACATTCCCGCCAACGCCGGCCAGACCCACACGCTTTGAAGCTTGAAGCTGCGAGCTGGGCTGTGCGCTGGGCATAGCAAGGCAAAGCTTGGCTGCGCAGAGCTGCGTGGGCTGCTCAGAGCTGGAGCGCAGGGTGGTAGCTGTTTTGGGCTAAGCTGCGCAGAGCAAGGCTCCGCAGAGTTGGCTGCGCAGAGCAGGCTGCGCAGAGTAGGCTGCGCAGAGCTGCTCTGGCAGATGCGCAGAGTCGGGCTGGGCAGAGGCAGACATTCAGAGCTCTGAATGTCAGTTTGCGCAAGCAGAGAAACCCTGATTTCGAAAGAACCCTTCGCCGACGCCTTCGCGAAAATATTGTCCTCTTAGAGAATTGGACAGGTTTGGATGAATTAATCAGGGAAGGCCTAGGGCACCCCCGCCCAAAGTTTCCACGGGGCAACCTTGAGTGGAAAATATGAAGATCCAGGTGAAACATTACGCATGGCGACCTCGCCTACGCCTGAGGTTACGCAGATTGGCACCCGCCATTTCATCAGAAGACGCCAGAACAAAGACAAAGGCTTCATGCCGCGCTTGAGCGATGTCCGCTTTTTCAGGGCTTCGCTGCGCATGTGCCCTGGTTGCACCACGTGGTTCGGAGCACGCTCAAGCAGCGCACCTATCGCGGATCGAAGAGCCGGACAAAGAGTCTAAGACCAGAATTGTTCCCTCGGCTGCGAAGGTAATGAAACAACGAGTCGAAGCTGTTTACCCTCTTAATCCTTTCGGGCGCTTCCTTGCCCCGCCCAGGTCGCAAGATTCAAGCTGCATGTGAGAGGTTTCGATGTTTGAAGGGGCGCCATGCATGCTGCTCAGAGCTTGGCATTTTTCGAGATTTACCTGAGGACTTGTCAAGAATTGTCGACGCCATCGAAATCACGCGCTGCTTGCCTCATGGTTGACACCGTGATGCACAGCATGCTCTTGAATCATGAACTGCGCATTTGCGCATGGTGTCGGGCGTTTTTGGGGTGAACTGCCCGTGCAGTTGCTCGCTTGCCTGCCTGCTTGCCTGCTTGCCTACCTGCCTGCTTGCATGCCTGCTTGTTGTTTGGTGTTGGTGCTTGTTGTTTGTTTCTTTCTTTTTGCTTGGCTGTGAATTTGTTTCTAATCGGTTTCGTTGTTTTGTTTTGTGTGTGTGTGCTCGGTTCAATGGCTTCTTTGGTTTCGCTTGGTCTGGTCAGATTCTTTTTGTTGCTATTCTGTTTTTTCTGCTTGCGCGTGCCCATGTGCGTTATGATCGGCTGGCTTGGTGCTTGGCCACAACCACAACGCATGTCCTGGTCGCGCATATGGCCGAGTGCCCGGGCAAAGGGGGGCTTGGAGTCATGTCCAGCTTAAATTGTAGGGTCTTTACGGCCGCCCGCTTTATATAGTTGAGTGTTTGGTAGGTAGGTGGGTCAATGTATGATGGATGGACGAGCGGATGGACATTTTGGATACAATGGAAATGGAAAGTTGGATGGATGGAGCACCTTTGGCTCGCAGCGTGGGGGTGTCCTCCTCCACGCAACTTCAACCATTTGGCAGGCTGA